TGCTGGATTTGAGACTTTACTTTCACATGACTAATAAATTCCCTAGATGACAAGGTTACACTTTTCTATGGATGAGAGCCTGTGTTAAAGAATATAATCCCAGGAATCCTCAGTGTGGATTCATATGAACAAAGACAATCTTTAGCAAGATCTGGTCACCTGCCCCATATTAGGTCAGCCGTTTTTTGAACTTGAACCCAATCTCCTTCTTTTAACTTTCATCTTTGTCTAATTTAAACAACTTATTTACTTGTTGCTATAGATCAGTTCTATTCTGAACTGCATTCATCTACTGTTTAATAAGCATTTTATGCTCCTAATTTAGGAGATTAAAAGATTTCCTGTAGATGGCAATTATTTCAGAATTACCTGTGCAAAAATCAACATTGCTATGCATAACAAATTTTCATTTCCCCGTAACCCTCTCCTCTATTAATGGTTAAGCTTAGATGGAGTCTGGAAGAACAACTGGAATACAAATAATAGCACAGCGTGAGTCTGTAAGAATTACAAATAATAATGGCAAAAATTACATTGTTGTTTTTTTCTGTGCAAACAACAACAGAAAGACCAGACAGATGCCAGTGAGGAATATTATTTTCCTGCAACATTTCTCATAGTTCTCTTTTTTTTTCTTCAGAAAAAACAGATACACTTTTTTTTTCATCAACTAAGAGTAAAAAAAATGATTAATTGTGGAACTTAGAAATAATTCTATTTTTTAAAGTTAAAGTTAGAAGATTTCTTGCTTTATCATAGATCAATAACAATATATGCTATTTGAGATAAACAAAAGCAGCAGGTGGAATATAAAGTTCACTAAAGCAAATCTTTGAAGCTGTGGCAATCAATAAAGGGCAAAATTTCTTCTGCTTGGTTCTGCAAGACAGTTGCCATGTGAATAAACTAGTTCCTAGTGTGTGCCAAAGTCATTATATTTGACACTTAACTCGATGCACTATTGTGATGTTCTACCATTTGAAGTCAATCTGTAGATTATACAGTTATGTATTTTCCTTTTTTATAGCACAGGTTTATTGATTTCTGTTAAAAGGAAACAAAAGCAAACGGGCAGCTCTTTTTTTTTTTTTTTTTTTTTTTTTTTTTTTTTTTTTTTTGAAAAAGAGAACAGCAAAAACGATGATAGTAATTCTCAGTTAGGATGAGGAGCATATTTTACAAATGTAACTTTCAAGGACATATAGTAGAGAAGTCTAAAACTTTCAGTTATGGTTGTGCCATTCAATTTTTTGGAATAAAATGAATTTGTATGTTATAGACAGTATATGTTACTCATCTGTTTCAGGGAAAAGTAGAAACCAATGAGCTCTATAAAATGAGTTACATGAATAAATTTACTGTGAAACTCCAGTGTTCTTAGGCCATGCATACTTCAAACAGGTACTTGTTAAGATAAAAATATCAGTAGATAATGTAGCCTAGGTTGCAAATACATTGTTAGTTACTGAATAGTTAGTTTTTATTTGAATGGCAACTGTCAATCAGTGTTTTTTTGTTTGTTTGTTTGATTTCTCATTGGTTAAACTGAAGAAGCAATCTTGAAAAAGCAGGTGTCAATTGATAATTTTTAAAAGTCATTAGGAAAGACAGGGGTACTTTTGGTCCCCTAACTGATTGACATATTACTTAGAACCAGCAGAGTTTTATGTATATTCTTTAGGCAAGATTAAAAGGTTGTTCCAATCATCTTATTATCTCTTATTTCTTTTCTATATTTGATCTATTAGTATCTATTTGCTCCTGTATCAGTATTGTTTTTTTCTTAATAGTTCCTTAACTTTTCTTTGGTATGGTGGGCTTAGTTGGTAATCACAGTATCCCCTATGTGAACTTTACAGTTTCAATTCATCTTCAATATTCATAATCAGAATTGTACACAGTAATCCAAATAGCATAAATATTTCCCCAAAGGGTGAATATAACAATGCTTTAATCAATATCATATTAAATTTCATTTATATTTTTCATAGATATATTTTATTGGTTTTCCTGTACTAATAACTACACATAAGGTGTTTTTACCATTCCATCACTTTTAACCATTATGTTTCCTCAAACACAAGATTATATATATATGTATACATATGTGATATTGTATATATAATATACAATATATTACATAGCCCATTTGTGTGGCTTCTCAGGTTCATCCAAATACTCCCTCAGAATAGTCCAACACCTTGCATATGATAATGTTGCCTTTTGTGTTATTGTGCAACATCTGACAATTTAATTAGCATACTTCTGTTATTACACTCCTGTATTGCAAAGTCCATCTGTAAAGAAATCTGACAATAGCTTCATTCCATCCTAATTGTTATATATGCTTCCTTTCCTGCTTAAAATTTCTTATACTATTCACCTTATTTTCACCTTAACTTGTAATTTATTACACAACAGCTGCTTTATTGAAAGGTGATAAAATAGTTCTGTGATGTCTCCTTTATCTAGGAAACCATCTATCTCTCTGTTATTTGTTCCAGCTGCACATTAGCTTTAAAAATAAGGAAATGCAATAAGGAAACATCTTTGTGTTCCCAATTCAAGAAGAGCAAATATTCAATCTTATTATCTGTAAAGGACATGTGGGAAATCTGGGAGTAACAAGCAAGTTAGTTAGATTCTTGCTTGAAAAGGAAAATGCTCCCTTTACTCTCCAAAGATTTTCAATGTTGCAATGTACAAAAAAAAATTGCAAATACATTTTCCTCATTTTTGACAAATGTACCAAGATTATAAACTACCAGAGCTGAAGTTGTAATTTTTTTTTCTAATAAAAATGTGATGCACAGATTGAGACAATTCTTTTCAGGTTTTGGAAAAGATTTTGATATATTGAAAAATTTTCATTTAAAAGTTAAAATGCATTTTTGCTGAAACAGCATTCATTTCTGTGATCTCTGTTTTACAGATGCATCTATGTCATGTTTGCATGTGTGCTTGAATAGTAAAATAACTGAAAATGACTGGTATGTACCATACAACTGAGCCTGATGTAAAACAGTAGCTACAAAAGCATAATAAATGTTCAACATATTAAGAAGAAATAAGAAGTTACTTAGAAATGAATCACCTCAGAGCCTAAAGAGCTCAGAGTCTAGAGAGCTTAATTCTCTAATTCTACCATAAGCTTAAAGAAAAATGCAATGTCTTTAACCGGAAAAGCCACAAAGCGAAGAGATGGCAAGTGGAATAGAGTTCAGCATTAGCATACAAATGAAGACATAATATATTTCAAGATTTTAAGTAGTTCACATTTGAGATGATTAGTTCACACTGTCACTTTTGTGTGAAATGCTCAAAGCGGTGTGTAAGATAGTATAAGCCTAATAAAAACACATGTTTTAAAGTTTCAGTTGTTGGCATATGGGACCTTTTTCAAAGACTGCGTTATTCAGGTAAAATTCTTCTTCCACTGAATCCAGTAGCACGTTTGCTATTTGCATCAGTGGGGCCACTGCTTTTCAGTTTTTGATGGTGCCAATTCCACCTTGCTGAGATGTAGATGATATTTCTTTTCATTTTTTACATCCTACAGCATGCACATACTCAAGCGAGCGTTTAATCACTGGGAAACATTAAATACATGCTCAACTATGCTACCATGAATCCTAATTGCCTTAATATATATTTTTTTCCACATACACTTCTTCCTAATTATTATTAACTGCTCTTCTCTTTCCTCAACTTTTACTCCCTAATTCCATCCCACATCTGCTATTATTTCTCACTCTTGCCTCTTCTTTGTTTTCCAGTAGCAACAGACTACAAAGTAAATAATATAAATATATTCTGTAAATTCTCTTTATTCTACTGTCCCAAAACTCCCAAACAAAATGCTTGTATCAGCACAGAATTTCTTTTCAAATCTCCTGGCAAAGGCTACAGGAGAAAAAAAAAAGTTACAAAAGGGCCAAAATTCATATATTTTTTGCATTATCTTCTGACATTAAAATAACTTCCTTGTCCACTCAGCTCTCCCTTGTTCCATCAGATCTTTATGAAGTATCTACCAGGTAGTTTGGATAAATGATTTTCAGACTAAGAATTGCATGGAAATTGTTCACTGCAATGATTCTTTATTCATTGCTCATATTTGTTTCTCTAAGGAAGGATTCCTCTTTCTGCTTTAAGACATCAACAATGTAGAACTCAGAACCAGAGAAATAGTGCCCAGGCTTCCTTTATTGTTAGAAGGGAAAAAATAAACTCTTACAGAGCACAGTTCGTGTTGTTAAAATGTAAATGTAAAATGTAAATGTATAATATAAAAAAAGCGAGATAAGTTATAGCTTAGAGGTATACATTTCTTCCAGTAGAGCTTAGGGTGATTGGCTATGTTGCAAATGTCTACTCAAACGTACATCATGGTATTTGTGATGAATTCTTCACACCTCTAAGTTATTATTATTATAGTTCACACCACATTGTTTATAGTCACATAGTTAAAAGTAAGAAACTTTAAAAATAATGAGCATCCAGTAATAGTGCATTACTGTAAACTGTGTTTTAATAAGTGCCATATAATCTACAAGAAAAGTTTTTTAAAAAAAGTAAAAATGAATATAAAATAAACCTCATCAATGGCTACATGATTATATGGGGTTGATAAACTCAGCTGGTTAACTGGCACATAGAACACAAAAAAAATCTGATGACGCAGATAACAATTTGTTCTAAACAACAGTTCTTTGAAAATATTTTTCCTGTATCTCCTTGGTTTATATTATGCATACCCAGATTTCTTGTTATTAAGAATTTGGTATAAAATTTGATATAAGGAATACAGAACAAATATATAAACTCTTTTAGATAAACAGGAGATCCAGGAGATATAGGAGGGCATGCTCAACTGTGTCTACTTTTATTTTAAAAGACACTCTCTGTTGCAGTATAACAGAAGTTATTTCCTACTGTATGTCACAGTAATTCATCCTTCTAAGAAATATGTTTTGACTGTATAAGAATACCCTACTCACTTGCCATTTAATGCTGCTACTCCAACAGTGCTTCTGGCAATTGACATACTTGCCACAAATGTCCACTGCTGACTTTGAGGGTCCCACCTCTCAACTGTATTCAAATAGCTCCAACCATCATGGCCTCCCACTGCATAAATAGGCCCTTCAAGCACTGTAACTCCTAAAATGGAGGAGAGAGTGAAAGAAGATAAAAGTCTGCTTTTTCCAGTAATTAAAAAAAAATCCGTAACACAACTAACAAATAAACTTTCATACTTAATGTAAAAATACCATTTGGAATATGATGAATGGAGAATTAAAAGATGGGAATAAATTTAATGCCAATCAACATGGCCGTATGAAAAAGAGGTCTTGTCAATCAAGCAGTATTTGAGAAGATAATTTGCTTCATACCAAGGATATGATGTGGTAGTCTTAGATTTCTATAAAGAATTTGACTTAGCATGTCAAAATATTCTCAATGTAAATTAGAATATCAGTAAAGTGCATGATAAATAAATTAGGGACTGGATACCTGACTATTCTCACCTTGTTGTCAATCTAAGAGGAATTTCATTGAAGGTATTTTTTCTACTGTGATTGAATAAAGAGCCTGCTTTTTTCATTTTTTTTCTATTTGATAATAATAATAAACTATTATTAGTAATAAAATGGGAAATAATTATATAGAATTATAAGTCTATATATAGTAAAGTATAAGAAAATATACAACATGTTATACATGAAGCTTTGTGGACCGGCCTAAAATCAAAAACAGACTCAAAGTGTCTGGTGATCAAAGTCTGGGAAGTCTGGAAGTCTTGGAAACTTCCAGACTGGGAAGTTTTATAGAGAAAAAATAATATTAGATATATGAAGATTATTTTCTCTAATGAAGAAAAGCAAAACAGGTTCCAAAGCTAGAAAGCTGAAGCAGGAAAATTCAAGCAAGAGACTTTTTTTTTTTTTTTAACTACAAGTTGTTTTAATTACTCTCTTTAAATGAAGTGATGAATTCTCTATCTCACAATATCTTCATTTAAGGTTAGGAGGTTCTGCAAGATAAGATACAGCTAAACAAAATTTGATACAAAACAGTGAGCTCAGACCTTCCACTCCATGAACCCATGATAATTTATTTTATTTATCCAAATGAGTATTTATTCTGGAAATATCAGACTACAAACAATTTTATTTCATATATTTTTTTTGACTTCCACTTCAAATGCTCTGAACTTGCCATAAAGTCAGAAAAAAATAACACTGCTAAAGTTCCAGAGAATAAGTTTATTTTTTTCTTAAAAAAAAGTCTACCTTTAAGTTAAGGGAAAAAAAGAGTTTTCATTTTCTGGAAAACTGTTTTGTTCTGTTTAAATTCAAATGCTAATTTAACCAGAATTTGAATAGGTTATATCTTAGTATTAAAAGTAATCTTATTTCTGCATTTTGATAAATCCAACAATAAGAAACAGTTTTACAATAGTGTTAACCCTTACTGAATTTTTCTCTGCTTATAAGGTCTGAGCTCACTCCTACAGACATAGATACAGAATTCCTTCTCTGAATTCATTCTCCATTTTTTTTTCTCATCCAAAAAGTCTTCCTCAAACATGTTCTTTATTCAACCATGTTTCAGCTCTGTTTTTTTTTTTTTGGAATATTACAGGAAATATTAAATTATAATCATGGTCTGTCCATCTCAATATCTCATCTCATGAAGCAAGTAATACCAAATGTGTGAGGAGACATTTCAGTGAATCTGCTGAAAAGCAAAGGATAACCTGCTTTTCTTGCCTTAGTATTTAATAGCTATATATGTTTCTGAATCATGAAGAATGATATTTACAACTTCCAAAAAGTACTTTTTACCACATGCTTTAGCTCAGATAAAATAAATTAATAGTGTTAGAAAAAACTTTAGGTGTGGGAATGTTTCTATATGCCTATGTGCATTTATAATATGTGTGATATATACGCACACACGCATACCCTTACATATTGAAAGAGTTGTATTCTCACACAGCCATTTTCACACGTGTCATGCATGAAAAAACTTTTGTCAGTTTTGAAATTTTCACCGTTTCTTTCTTGAATGTCTTTGTTCAGAAATGTCCTCAGTTTAATCTTTTTAGCTCATTCATTATTTAATATTCTTTTATCATGTCCTTTTGTATTTGAGTTTTATTCCCTTCATTTTTCTCTGTAAGTTAAGCCATCCTAATTTTTTCAATCACCTTTCATAGTAAATCTGTTCTTTCGTCTTAATCATAACACTGTTCTTTCATTCCTTTGATTTTTTTTTTTCTGAAATGACAGCCAAAAGTGGTAAGTTTGATTAACGCAACAGATTTTCTCTCCATAATTCTCACTATATTCCTTAACTAAACTTTATTCTGAAGACAGTCTTTACCTACTTCATGATGAGATCTTTGCAGTTTATCCAATGAATGTAGAACTCTCTAATAAACACAGTTACTGAATATCTTTTCCCTAGTATCTTTTACTTTGCATTTCTCGCTTGCTATTATGTTATCAATTCCGTTTGTTTCTGAAGTTCATTGCATTATCCTCTGAACTTACCTTTCTGTACGATAACTTCTGCACATTTTGCTACAACAATGTTCAACTCCATCTCCCATTTCTCGCTTGCTATTATGTTATCAATTCCGTTTGTTTCTGAAGTTCATTGCATTATCCTCTGAACTTACCGATAACTTCTGCACATTTTGCTACAACAATGTTCAACTCCATCTCCACAGAAGCTAATTTTACACAGGCCAATTAGGCAGTTAGAAAACTGTCAAAATAAAAATGATTCATGTGCGATTTCTGTCATGTTCCTCAACCAAAAGGAATGAATACAGTTATATCTAAACCACAGAAGAAATCCTTCCTTCCTTCCTTCCTTCCTTCCTTCCTTCCTTCCTTCCTTCCTTCCTTCCTTCCTTCCTTCCT